CTGTTGGAGGCAGCGAGCCCCACCACCGGCACCACGGGGCGCGGGAGCCCGCATCGCCCCCGCCGGGCCTGAGCACGCAGGAGGTCCCGCGGTCTGGACCGAAGAGAAAAAGGACGGAGGATTCCATGTAAGCCTAGCGTTGGCACTAGTAGGGGAGAAGCGTGGAGACGTCCCTGGCACGGGGCAGAGGTGCCCGACGCCTACTAGGCCAGGCTTGAGCCCCTGAGAGCCTGGCATCCCAGCAACAGCGACTTGGGCTCTGACCTGCCTGAGCAGGGAACGCAGCTTAGCTCCTGGCCCCAGGCTGGCGCAGGCCAGGCACAAGAAGCAGTGCCCTCACCTGTCTGAGACTCGGTGGCATTCCAGGAACCCAGGTCTGGCCTGACCCAAGGTGGGGCTCTCTGGTGGCCCAGAGCTGGTCACCGGGGAGCCGGCCTCCCGCGCCAGCCCCTCTGGTACGGATGTGCCGCTGCCCACCGGAGCACCATGACAGCAGGATGACCTCAGCTGAGGCAGTGGCAGTGTCTGGCGGGGCGCGGTTGGCTGGGTCCCCAGATTGGCCCCCCGACACCCCTCAGGCCCTGGGGCGGCCTGGCCGGGCCCGGGTGGCCATGGCGGCACTGGTGTGGCTGCTGTCGGGAGCCAGCATGTCCAGCCTCAACAAGTGGATTTTCACGGTGCACGGCTTTGGGCGGCCCCTGCTGCTCTCGGCGCTGCACATGCTGGCAGCAGCACTGGTGTGCCACCGGGGGGCACGGCGACCCATGCCTGGCCGCACCCATTGTCAAGTGCTGTTGCTCAGCCTCACCTTTGGCACCTCGATGGCCTGTGGCAACGTGGGCCTGAGCGCTGTGCCCCTGGACCTGGCGCAGCTGGCGACCACCACCACCCCACTGATCACACTGGCCCTGTCAGCCCTGCTGCTTGGCCGGCGCCACCACCCGCTGCAGTTCGCCGCCATGGGCCCGCTCTGCCTGGGGGCTGCCTGCAGCCTGGCTGGAGAGCTCCGGACACCCCCCGCCGGCTGTGGTTTCCTGCTGGCGGCCACCTGCCTCCGTGGCCTCAAGTCTATTCAGCAGAGTGAGTACCCAGGTCGCTGGCTGAGGAGGTGGGGGCCAGGGTGGGAGCATGGCCTTGGAGGCTCTTGAGGTCATTATCCCATTTTACAGATGAAGAAACTGAGGTGTGTGGCTTTGGAGGAGGCAGGGACTGAGGCTCAGAAAGGGACTCAGCAGCTCAGTGAGTTCCAGGCCCGAAACTTAGGCTCTACAGGCCCAACCAGGATTTATTAAGAGTTGCTGTCTAGATCTGTGGCCCGTGTTTTGTCAAGTCCTTTATCTCCCTGATCTCTCTACTGCCCTGATCTCTCTACTGCCCTGATCAAGGAAGTCACTATATTGCCCCTATTTGACAGGTAGAGGGGGCTTGCCCTGGGCCATGTGAGCTGCGGAGGCAAATTTGAACCCAGGCAGCAGACTCCACGCTGTCCAAATGATGAGGCATAAGGCTGCGGATCCAGAGGGAGGCCTGATGGCAGGGACCAGGGAGACAGAAGAGAGGAAGGCTGTGAGCTGGGATTTGAATGGTGAGGGGTTTGGCGAAGTCTGGGAAGGGCTGGTGTTTACTAGAAGCTACAGTGTAACAGGCCCCATGCCGAGTGTTGACCTTGAGTCATCATGGCAACCACCACCTTCATCCCCATTTTACAGATGATGGAACTGAGGCCCAGAGAGGTTCGTGATTTGCCCAGGTCACACAGCTCCTAAGGACTGGAATCCTGGTCCATGTCACTCTGGACCTCAGCTCTGATGTAAGGGGTTCAGGGCTCTGGGCAGAGGGTCGGGTGGAGGCTCCAGGCCTAGACCCAGCTAAATCATTCTGCCCAAGGGTGGAGGCCACCTTCCGGCCTGTCCTACTGAGGGGCTCTGAGTCACAGCCCCCACCCTCTCTCTGCCTCAATCCAAGGGAGACATGGTGAAGTCCAGGGCACCCACTCAGGGTGGAGAGGCCTGGGTTCTAGCCACACTTTGGCTCATCCTTGCTGGATGACCTTGGGCAGGTCTGGATCTTGTCTGCACCTCAGTCTCCCCATATTTTCGGTGCTCTCAGGGCCTTCATGCTCTCCCTCCCTTCCAGCTCTGAGGTCCTATGACCCAAGCCTGGGAGAGGAAAAGGGGTGCTCCCAGGGCACTGGACTGGGGTTAGGAGCAGCCTGCAGTCAGGGAAGGTTGAAGTCAGAGCTCAACCCTGCCCTGGCATCTGCAGCGCCAGGACCTATCCCTGTCCTCCAGGGCCCTCCAGTTCTATTTTTGCCCTCAGGTTACATGAGAGCTAGGGTCTGAGCTCTGGGCATGCATGAGTCAGTGGGAAACTTGACCTCGTGCCCTGCCCTGGGCAGGGCCAGAAGGCTGAGAAGGCCCCAGCCTTGAGGCCCCACCATGCCTGCCCAGTGCTCCACACCTAGGAGGAGCCCGGCCTGCAGGACAGGCTACGTCCACCCACATCTCGGGCACACGGGCCAGGAGCAGCAGGTGCCTGGCATCAGGCTGCTCCTTGGCTCTGCTAGCTCCCTCCTTGTCTCCTGCCTGGTCCCTGAGGTGGATTGGATGCTTTCTCCAGGCTCCCTGAGCACCCTCTGCTTCCGCCATCAGAACCCCACATGCCCTGTGTCATAGCCACTTGATTACCTGTCTGCTTCCCACCAGACAGGAGCTCTGAGAGGGCCTGGCCTGGCTTTGGGGCAGCTCTGTGTCCCCAGCACGTGACCTGGGGCCTGGCACAGGGCAGGTAGCCCTTAAGTGGTGGATTTATTAATGGCTCTGGTGGCAACACTGGCAGGCTGTTGAGGCTACATGGCTCAAGGTGCTAAGGAGGAGCTTAGGAGGCTAAGGCAGAAGCCTGGCAGAGGTGGGGAGGAATATACTGGAGACAGGGGCTGACATGGGTTTCTGGGCAAGAGAAGGTTTCTACTTCCAGAGGTTCCAGGAAAGGTACCAGGACTAGATTCAGACTAGAGTGTAAATGGCTGACATCAGCTCCTTTCCTAAGGACAGGCTGCACGGGAGCAGAGGATGAAAGTCCAGGAAGAGGCGTGCCCAGGCAGCCACAGACAGATCCGGCAGCTTCCCTCCTTCCTGGGCCAGTTGCCGGCCGAGGGGCCTACACGAGGGTGCCACCTTCCCACTCACAGAAAGGCTGGGAAGCAGGGTGGGACGTGCTGAACTTGTCCTCAGCTATACCCACCTGCAATGGGGAATGGCCTGACCCGATCCCTGTCCGCTGCACTCTCAGGCTAGTCAGGGGGTGCCCTCAGACCTAGAGATCACACAGCGAGGGAGAAGTGCCAGGGCCAAGGTGGGCACAGGTGTGGTCAGCAGTTACGTCTAGGGGAGACCAGAGAAGGCAGCCTAGGGGAGGAGGCAGGCAGCGATGATAACAATAACGTAAGAATAGTAGCAAACGCTTGCTGAGCCCTCACCATGTGTCCAGCTCTCCACACGGCCAGAGCCAGAGAGGGCAGTCTGGGAGCGGGTGTCAGCGGGCGGGAGCAGGGCATGGGGGTCGTGACAGCTGCCGCGGTGAGCAGTTGCCCTGGGCACCAGGCCCTGTGCTTAGCACCTCACATACCCCTTGCTGACACAAGAGGACAGGCGTAGAGGGAAGGTGACTTGTGTGATACCACACAGCTCATGACGGAGCAGAGAGGAGAGAAGCCAGTAGCCAGCCAGACAGGGTCTAGAGAACATTTGTTTGCATGTGGCTGAAGGTTGGGTGTGTTCAGAGGCTGAAACAAAAATGTCTTTGGAGGAGGAGAGGTTGAAATGCAGGGTTTGTGGGGAGCTGGCAGAGGAGGGGTCACTGAGACAGCAGGACGACCGGCTTGGCATTTTGGGGGCCCCGGGTGGGGTGCATCACCTCTGGCTGAGGATCACTGCTCTTTCCTTGGGCTGCAGGG